GTCTGCGTTAACGTTAATAATGACATTTGAGGTGTGCTGGCTGATGTCGAGCGTAGAAAGCCACTCAGAAGACGATTTGTATTAAATTCTGTGCTTCTGTTGAAGAGAGTCAAAATGTCAACAATATGCTACCAAGAACAGATTTCAGGAATTCCAGTATTATATTATACTGAAAGAGTAAGTGCATTGCTGCATAGGTCAGTGGCTCAGTTTCTGCAGCGTTCTCTTGAGATAGTATCGTAAGTAGTTATATCGCGCAGCTTGTCTTATTCTAGCAGCAATATATTGTGGCGATTTCAGACAAGAAAAGTGAGATGCATTAGGTAAATACTTTATTTTATCCAAGGAAAGCGCATAGTTACTGTATTTTCCCTCGTTCTTTTATAGCTCTTGGTACATATAGTGTCATGCTACAGAAAAATACCAAACACTATGATTAACTATCTATAACCCATAGATATCACGCATTGAGGTAATGGGTAGAATATCATCCTGGTATCATACCATAAAGGAGGATAAATATATCAACATCTCGAAGTTGGATGCATCAGATGAGAAGCTAATGTCTAAGTTCAAACAGGAAGGAAGAAATACAATAATCGATGTATGTAAGACGAGGAGAGAAGAGCATAGGGAAAGAGATAACACAAAGCATCTCGAGAAGCGAAAGGAAAGAAGAAACAAGTATCAAGGTTGTTACTAATGTATGGGGAGAAAAAAGAAATGTATAATCATGGATTGCCACATATATGTTGTGTATGGAAATACCAGCGCGTTGTTCCTGAAGTCTCAGCTAAAGACAATCATTAAGGAATTTTCCGAACACCTCTATTTTCACCCAGATAAACTAGGCCTCAGTAATACCTAAGAAAACTCATGAGGAATCAGTCACTGGTCATTGGCTAGGTGCTACTTCATATGATACAGTAACCATAGGATTAATCGATTTTCAAAAGAAGGAGAATCTCGGGAAAATGACCGCCAAATTCAGGGTTTAATAATCGCTATCACTCAACAAAATATTGACTCTCTTAGCGACTTGAAGATAGATAAATCGCACTTCAGTGGAGGTTCGCTGACACTATATCATGCACTGAAAGAGAAAAAGGTGTGCTACCAAACTCATCAAAAAGGTTTCGTAGGCGTCCAAAGCTTCCAAATGTGTCGATATGTTAAACGGAATGCTTTTCAAAAATCTGCGAAACCAAAAAAGGATCGGGCGGCGGGTACGCGTTCCCAACCTTCATCACGGAACCTTTTAAAGTTTCACACGGTTCCAATAAGGTTTCGTCACAAAACCTTCGTTGATTCGTATAAAGTCATAGGGCGGAACTTCGAGGTTTCGTAGATTTTTGAAAAGCAGTTTTTCAACATGTCGACACATTTGGAATCTTTCGACATCTACGAAACCTTTTTGATGGGATCGGTAGCACATCTTTATCGTTTACAAAGTACTTGATGAAGTATATGTATTACCACGGTGAGCGTTTATAGTGGTTGGTTAATAATATAAAGAACAGGATATGATCATCGAAAAACAAGCG